ATGTTTGTTCACCTACTTCAGCCGACCCAACTTCAGGACGCATGACTAACACTCGCAATGCCTCTCATGTGAATTAATTTTGAAAGTCAAAGTATGGAGAACAGACGTATCTCATGACAGAGAGTTTATCTAGGCATGTTGAAATGTAAGTAATCATTATTAACTATCTTCATACATTTTCTTTAGATGATGATAGTGACTAACTGAAAACAATTCTGTACCTATATTATTGGGTTTTGTTACTGAAAAGCTCTATTGTGTTAGATGTCTGTCATTCCAAAGAGATTACTGACAAATGCTGGAGAAGAGATGAGGTCATTTGACTGGCTGTAGCACAACTTAACTCCTAATTTGGTCAAAAGAAACCAATTATAATCCTGGACAGTACCAACAGAGCTCAGTATGAAACGTTAAATAAGCAGAGGCTACCTTTATTGAAAACTTTACATACAGAGATTTTGGCCAGCTGAAGTTATATGCAAAGCTTGAATTTTACCACACAGGATAACCTTTATCCTTCTCTTCCTACCTCCTAAACTTTCAAAATATGATAGTCAGCTTCAAGAGTAATCAGGATGTTCAGTAGAGATAACTGAAAAAAAGGTAGCAAAACTTATATTGCCTTAACCACTTAAGCTCCAGAAGAATTTACCCCCTTCCCAACCAGAGAATTTTTTGCTATTCTGTACTGCACTACTTTAACTGGCAATTATGTGATCATGCAACACTGTACCCAAATGAAAATTATAATTTTTTTTCACACAAATAGAGCTTTCTTTTGGTGGTATTTGATCACCACTGAGTTTTTTTATTATATGACTGGAAAAAAAATACAAGAATTAAAAAAAAAACGATATTTTTTACTTTTTACTTTCTGCTATAAAGCATATTCACTTAAAAAATATAAAATAATCTACCGTATATACTCGAGTATAAGCCGAGTTTTTTCAGTACATTTTTTGTGCTGAAAAACGGCCCCCTCGGCTTATACTCGAGTCAACGTCTGCAGATGACGTGCCGTCCCTGTCATCTGGACACACCCCCGGGATCAATCCTCGCCGCTCCCTCTCTCTCCCATGGTACACACTTACCGGTCAGATGTCTTCCTTCTCCGGCCGCTCTCCTCTTCTTCACTCGCTCGATCTTCGTGGTGCCGCTCGGCTCCTCCTCTCCAAGCTCCACCTCCTCGCCGGTGATTGGGCGCCTGTGTGCCTCTCCTGAGCTACAGTTCCGGCGGCCAATCACCGGTGAGGAGGTGGAGCTTGGAGAGGAGGAGCCGAGCGGCACCGCAAAGATTGAGCGAGTGAAGAGGAGGAGAGCGGCCGGAGAAGGAAGACATCTGACCGGTAAGTGTGTACCATGGGAGAGGGAGGGAGCAGGGGTCACCAACGATGGGGCACTATTCCTCCCCCCACTGACACCAACGATGGGGCAGTATTCCTCCCCCCCACTAACACCAACAATGGGGCACTATTCCTCCCACACTGACACCAATGATGGGGCACTATTCCTCCCCCCACTGACACCAACGATGGGGCACTATTCCTCCCACACCGACACCAATGATGGGGAACTATTCCTCCCCCCACTGACACCAACGATGGGGCACTATTCCTCCCACACTGACACCAATGATGGGGCACTATTCCTCCCCCCACTAACACCAATGATGGGGCACTATTCCTCCCCCCACTGACACCAACGATGGGGCACTATTCCTCCCCCCACTGACACCAACGATGGGGCACTATTCCTCCCCCCTCGGCTTATACTCGAGTCAATAGTTTTTCCCAGTTTTTTGTGGTAAAATTAGGTACCTCGGCTTATATTCGGGTTGGCTTATACTCGAGTATATATGGTAATTTCTTCATAAATTTAGTATGAAATGTATTCTGCTACATGTCTTTGGTAAAAAAAAATCCCTTACTAGTAATGGCGAAGATCAGCGACTTATAGTGGGATTTGAGCTTTGTGACATTGTGCATTGTCCTGCTGTAAGTAGCTATCAGAAGATGGGAACAGAGTAGTCATAAAAGGGGGTGGACATGGTCAGCAACAATATTCAGGTAGGCTGTGGCATTAAAAGACTCTCAGTTGGTACTAAGGGGCCCAAAGTGGGCCAAGAAAATATCCTCCACACCATTACACCACTCATCAGACCAGGCAACATTTTTTTCAAATCTTCTATTGTCCAATTTTGGCGAGCCTGTGCGAATTGTAGCCTCTGTTTCTTGATCTTAGCTGACAGGAGTAGCACCTGGTGTGGTCTTCTGTTGCTGTAGCCCATCTGCTTCAAGGTTCGACATGTTATGCAATCAGAGAGGGTGTTCTACATACCTTGCTTGTAACCAGTGATTATTTGAGCTACTGTTGGCTTTCTATCATCTCAAACCAGTCTGCTCATTCTCCTCTGACATTAACAAGGCATTTGTGTCCACATAGCTGCCTCTCACTGGATATTTTTTATTTTTCAGACCATTCTCTGTAAACCCTAGACATGGTTGTACATGAAAATCCCAGTAGATCAGCCATTTTTAAAATACTCAGACCACCCCATCTGGCACCAACAACCATGCTACAATCAAAGTTACTTAAATCCCATTCTTCCCCATTCTGATGCTCGGTTAGAACTTCATCAAGTTGTTTTCACCACATCTACATGCCTAAATGCATTGAGTTGCTGCCGTATGATTGGCTGATAAGCAATTTGTGTTACCAAGCAATTGAACAGGTGTACCTAATAAAGTGCACTGTGAGTGTATTTTGTAAAGATATCTGTATCAAAACAGGAAGAATGGATTATGTAAATGTAAAATTTTGAAAATAAAACATTTTTGCTTATAACATTCAATATTTTTGCAAGGCAACATTGCCAAAATATCTGCTGTTTATGTTATGAGTGAGTTATTGTATAATAAATAGGCCCATTTTAAAATGGTTGCAAACCCAATGTCCAACAATTATCAACATCTCCTTACAGTTTTTGAAACATGAAAAGCGTGTTATGTGTACCTCAGTATTTTCATGTGTTTTTCTTTTACAGTCCTCTGAATATATAAGGGATCCATTGGCGTGTCCATGCCTGGAGCTCAGTAGGCAGAGGTGCGATGTCAGCGAACTTCCCTCCCAGCTGTACATGCTCCCATAAATCTCCTTAGCATGGCTATATAACGGTAAATAAGAAATACAATATATTTACCAAGAATAACAGGGGCATGACTTGGGGTGTGGTCTATTTATAGGGTTAGCTTAAAATTAAACCTCACACTCACATAAGGCAAAGCGACATGTTCACTTTAACTTAGCTCTTCCTAGAAGCACACATTCATTTTCCTTTGTTTCCACACTGCTCCATTCAGCCTCCAGGTGTAAAGCAAAGTCCCGTTGAAGGAGCTGTTGCTTACACAAGGCTATGGGCCTCCCATATGTCAGCTTTGATTGTCCCATTATCACATACACCCCATTCACAGATATACCCAGGCATATGCTAGAGAGGGAGAGGGATTATTGCAAACCTGTTGCTTTGCCCTGAATAGGTAAATGATATGTTTGTCTTAAGGCACCAGATTTTCTACTTTTATAGGCTCCTGAGATGTACATTTAGGCTTGGGTGTCATAAAAGGATTAAATGCATGGATGCCCCATTATTGTGGAAAATCTCTGCAAATGTTTTTCTCTTTGTCAAACATTATGTTTATTAACCTGATTAGTAATTGGTAATAAAAATCACATACTTTGTGGTAAGCTTCATTCTCAAAATACTAATAGTAATACAAATGATATCAATAGCAAAAAAGCCACTTTCCCTGTAAATGTTTTTCATAGACCTTTATATAGAAACAAATAGTCGTTGTCCCATTTTCACACAGTGCTAAGATACTTTGACCCTGACTCATTAATCTGCCTCAAAGCACATGCTGACTTACAATCCCTTTCTTTTAAGGAAGTCTGTAAATATCCAAGGATCTTGTACTTCTTTGAAAGACTCCTTATGTTCATTGCCATTTGGCCAAATAGCTTCCTTTTCAAAAGCTTAATAGCTAGGCACATATCTCATCCTGTGCAGAGACACCCTGGTGCACTGTGCTGATTTTCTTTGTTTGTGATCTTTATAGAAGAGTCTAAATAGTACTTGCCAGAACACAGAGGGGTGCCAGTTTAAGCCCCACCAAATCACAAGGCTAATTCTCATTAACACTGACCTAACTTATGACTGAATTGTCCTCCTCCTTGTAATCAGTGATGTAACTGCTTAGAGGAAATGATGGGTGGGAGGGGTGATGGAGACTTGGGGCATTATACAAGGACTTCAAAACAAGTAAAAGAATGATAGTTCCATGACAAGATGTATTACTTTCCCATTCTAAGAAGTTTAAGAAGCTGAGGTCCTTGCTTGTCCAGTTGAATAACTACTCTGCCTCCTTTTGTCCTTTCCAGATGAAGACAGAAATTAGAGGCATTTACTATATATACAGTATATTGAAGTAGAGGATGATCAGTACAAAAATTATATTCTTTAACCTCCTTAACGGTATGATTATTTCAGATTTTTGGTGCTGAAAGCGGTATCATTATTTTGCATGGAAATATGTAGTTTTTTTATTGTAGGCTGTATTTTTTAGGAATAACTCACTGAAATCTGTCCGAACAAGAGTCTATAAAACATCCCGGGTATGATAAAATTTGAAACACGAAATCATAAATTATAATTTAATAAATAATCATAAAGAATAATAATATAATAATAATAATACATTTAATTCAATAATATAATCAAACCAAAAACACTGAAATTTGAAATATAAGCGCCAAGTTCACACATCACTGAGCAAAGTTGCAAAATCGTTTTCAGTGTCTGATGACGAATTTCCCCACGAATCATTATCACTCAATTCTGCAAGTGGCTCTGATTTACTATCGCTGTTCTCTAGCCGGTCTAAAACCGCTTTTGACCTAAAGGGACGCTTTTTGGACGCCATGGACTTTTCTAAATTTCCAAGCAGAAAGAACAGGCAAAATGCAGACAGGGGACAGGACAAAGCACTAGGGACACAATGTATGTGAAATGGTTTGAAACAGCAAAGTTTTACTATGTAAAAATAGTTTAGAAAAAAATGACATTTTTTTAAAATTTTCAAATTTCCTGCCGATTCCGGCGCCCGTACGTCCCGACGTCACAGGGACCGAAACACAGAAGCCGGATGCCGGCATCGGCCGGAGGAGATGGCCGGGGACGCTGCAGGGGACACATCGCGGGAGCAAAGGACAAGGTAAGCTCTTCAGGGAATCCCTATGCAGCGCTGCATGGTAAGCCCGAGTGTAGCTCGGGGTTACTGCTTTTGGTACTGACATTTTACCCCGAGCTACACTTGGGAATACCGCTAGAGAGGTTAAACTGTGTTGAAAGATTATTATTTTTTATTATACAGGATGTATATAGCACCAACAGTTTGCACAGTGCTTTGCAATATAAGGGAGACAGCACAATCACAATACATTTCAGTACAGAAGGAATATGAGGGTCCTGCTCGTGTAGCTTACAATCTAAGGGTGGAATTAAATATTTCTTCATCAACAATTTAGGAATTGTACAACAATGCCAAAACATAAACACTAACGTTTTGTGGAGGACCTGTACCTGATATAACACACATGTACATATTCACCTCTACACATACATTTTATGGATGAACAACATATATTTAGGTAGATATAAATATTTAAACTCAAATCACACTGTGTGAGAGTAATGAACATTTTACCATGATTAAAATATGGTGGCTGCCATTGCTAACTCAATCTTCTGAAAATGTTAATTGGCTGGAAATCATGCTGATCTAATGGTTTTAGTATTTTTAGGGGTTGCTTTAATAAAGGATGGGGGGGGGGGAGGGGTAGTGCTGTTCACTTAGCAAAGTGAAGGCTCATTGGACTTAGTGAAAAAGAAAACATCTTTTTGTTTAATTCATTCTTGATTGTGAGAAGGTAATCCTATTCAAGACAGCATCATCTTATTCATTAAGCTTGATGAGCATTCATTAGTCTCTACTCCTTCAGTAAATCAACCTCATGAGTTACTTTGAAAATGTCTGCACAACCTCTGGGCACGTGTCAGGACTTCTCCTACAATTGAGGTTCATTGGAGGATACAGTGGGAACCAAAAGCATATAACGTACTGATTTAAGATGTGGGACCTGCATATGTCAAAAGCCTGGAGATTATCCCTGGAATTTAAAAAAGACTGGCACAGACAGATTTAGCTAAAGTGTCTCTCATGCATTGTAAAAGTGGTGAAGAATGCACCATATTCACATACCAGCCTATACCTTGTACTTGGATTTGGCTCATGGTGGTGCCCACATTTTAGAATGCATGTGAGATACTTTTTCAAAATCTGTCTGAGGCAGTTTTTCTTTCTGTATGTCAAAAAAGGAGCCGATCTTAAGCAGGTCATAGACAGTTCGAATCATGGCCAGTTCAGCAGGAACTGGCTGAGATTCAAACCATGTATGGGCAGGTTGAATGTACCCAAGTTCATCGATTGGTTACAACCTGCCTGCTGGATTTTACATGTGATTATCGCTGGCAGCTGTTGTTACTACTAGCAATAATCACTGTCTTCTCCCAGTGGGGGCGGCTTCCCCCGCCCTCCATTGGTAGACTACACTGACTTGATGGGAGGGATTCCCGTTTCTCTGTGTTGCAGGAAAGAAATTTGCTTGGTGTATGGTTTACCTTAGTTAGTCCCACTTTTACATTTGCCACATGCAATGTAAAAGTGGCACATTTTAGAACTATCTGAATTTGCTGCACGAGTCTTTGTCAGAATCCAAAAGTCGCAAATGCTTCATGAATTTGGCACAATACATTAACAAGAGGGATTAATGCCAGAAAAGGGGAGCAGCAGCTTTATTGAATTCCTCCCTAATATGTTTGGCATTGAGGTGTATTTGATGACAACCTAGGAATATACTTTGAAGATGTCGAGCATTTTCCTTTAGGGGTGGTCTTGGTGTTTATTCAGTATAGTGGATGTGACAAGTGCTTTATGACAGTTAATATATGTTCACGTGAACTTTGTGACAATTCTGTCATATGTGCTGCTGCACTTGGACTTTTGGATTCTTTCCGCAGATGTGCCTTATTTGGAATTGAAATCATCTATCTGATACAACAGTCAGGGTGATTCATAAGGCAGAAACCACAGTCCCTCAGTATCCCTCATTCATTCCAATAGCATGGACACAACCGTATTTTTTCCTCCTATTGATATCAATGCTGCAGTACTTTTTTTCCTCTCAGTGACTGCTGGTACTATTTAGATACATGCCACATCCATAAAATGCATTTTGATCCTTTTATCCCCCACCACCACTCTAATCCTTGTCTGGCCCCCATTCTCACACTCACTAATTTACAAAGGTTCTTACGTGGAAACTTGCATATGGGCTTTGCATTTGTGGCAAGATCAACAGTTATGTTCTGTACTTGCTGAAAAAAGAAAACAAATTCAGCCACCACATCTAAGGACCAGCAAGCCTCAATACATTATATCTTTTCTCTTCCATTTAGTTATGCTTTAATAGTTAATGTAACTTCAAAAGGTGTTTTAATCATTTTCCACCTGCAGCTTTCATTAATCGCCTCCCGCCCGCCATATAAGGTAATGATGGGAGCAAGGCGGTTCTCTCATTGTGAGAGGACGTATATGACGTCCTCCCACTCTAACCGCGCATGCACAGGTCCAGGGGCGTGCAGCGAGGCGACTGGTGGTGCGCTGTGACCCTCAGACACAGCAGATCACCGGAAAGAGCCGAAGATGTCTGCTCGGTCATGTGATCAGCTGAGTCCAATCACAGCTGATCGCATGTAAATAGGGAAATGCCGGTTATCTGCATTAATCTCCTCACGAGCTGTCACGCTGACAGCTTGAGAGGAGAGGAGAGCCGGTAATCAGCATTCCTCAGAGGGGATATGTACACTGATCATCAGGGCACTGATGATCAGTGTGCCCTGATGATCAGTGTAGCCCCAGCAGTGCCACCTGTCAGTGTCCATCAATGCCAGCTGTCAGTGCCCATCAATGGCACATATCAGTGCCTACCAGTGTGCATCAATGCCACATATCAGTGCCCATCTGAGCTGCCTTTCAGTGTCACCTATCAGTGCCAGTCAGTGCCACCTATCAATGCCAGTCAGTGCCACCTATCAGTGCTGCCAATCAGTGCTGCCAATCAGTGCAAGCCAGTGCCGCCTATCAGTGCCACCTATCAGTGTGCATCAGTGATGCCTATCAGTGCCCGTCAGTGCTGCCTATCGTCTAACAGTGCCAGTCGGTGCCGACTATCAGTGCCAGTCAGTGCTGCATATCAGTGCCACCTATTAGTGCCATATATGAGTGCTGCCTTTCAGTGCCCATCAGTGATGCCTGTCAATGCCCATCAGTGCCACCTACCAGTGCCTCCTCATCAGTGCCCATCAGTGCCACCTATCAGTGCCCATCACTGCAGCCTATCAGTGCCCATCACTGCAGCCACATTAGCACACATCAGTGAAGGAGAAAAATCAGTTATTTACAAAATTTTATAACAAAAACTAAGAAAAAATGTTTTTTTTCTTAAATTTTTAGTTGTTTTTGGTTTGTTTAGCAAAAAATAAGAAACCAAGAGGTGATTAAATACCACCAAAAGAATGCTCTATCTGTCTCAAAAAAATTATAAAAATTTCATATGGGTACAGTGTTGCATGACCGTGCAATTGTCATTCAAAGTATGACAGCACTGAAAGCTGAAAACTGGCCTGGGCAGGAAGGGGGTAGAAGTGCCCTGTAGGCTAGTGGTTAAAAGAATACCTGGTAATACTGTATAAAGCTTATAACGTGACAACTGTCCCCCAGGTGTACTAATGCCTTGTCATCCTGTTACCTGTGCCTCCTGGTTGTAGGTTTCTATAGGTTTCTATCCTCCTGGAGAATATAAACACCCTTGCTGGCACATTTTAAAGGCATGGGCCACCTTTCAGAAAGCTGATCCAGAGCAATGATGTGCAGTTAATGCTAAAGTGAACACAGGAAGTGGCTAGAAATTGATGGAAGATATTAGCAGCTTAAAGATAAAAAAACAGATGAAATACAAAGTGAAAACAGTAATTCATGGATAAATGGCAAATGATTCCAATACACGGTGCTTTAGCAAAGTAAATGTCATACACTGACTAGTGTGAACCATAAGGTGGCCTCCGGACCTCCTGATCCGGCGGTGTGACGTCAAGGCGTGCAAGGGCTCCTTCTAGACGCGTTTCGTGTAAAGACACGTCTGCTGTAGGGGTGATGCCACCTACACCTATTTAAAGTGTCACTCTCACCACAGGGTCACGTTTACAAAATATGATACCTGTGAAAGGATTATTTAATACTTATAGTAATTTCTGAGGAAAAGTCAGATCTCTGTATTTAAACACTTCTTTTACAGGTTACCACTTTGGTGACCCTATGTGTATTGATAGTGTCACTTTAAAGAATCTTAAACTACCTTTAGTGAATTTTTCATGAAATTTTGAAATTTGCTGGAAATCAATTTTAATATTAATTCTTAGGTAAATAAAAATGTGATTTAACGTATGAGATACCATGATGCCTAGATCTTCAGTTGGGCCTTTAAATACTATGTGTTTAAATGTATTTGATGGATTTTTTTTTTAAAACATTTAACGTCTTCATTTTAATCCGGCTCTTGTTCTACACAGCTTTATTACTTTTATAGTCTGTTTCTGTGAAATCATTGTACTGCTATTGATTGTGGCTGCATGTAGTACATGTACAGATGGCAGGCCAGTGTGTGACTGTGCTGGTCTGCATGTGTGAACAAAAAAAATGCAAAATCAAGAATAGTTGAAAGGGGAACGAGCCGGCAGTGCTGATAGCACAATAACTTATTGTCAGGCATGTTCATAAAGGGATGGTAATTAGAGTTTTCTGAGCACTTATTCTCCACAATCACCAACAGGAGCTGCTTTTTTAATAAAAATGATTTTTCCCTTTAAAAACTATTGGGCTGATCTAATTAACTAATTTCTTAATATCAGTATAGCACAGCATCAATAGGCATACCACAGAGCATGGGACTCTACGTTCATGCACACAAATATGTCTTTTTATTCTACACTGCATTAGCGTAGTTTATATTATTAAAGGTAGATTCAAGGAAAAGCAATTCTTATGTTATACATTTACACAATATGAAATGTCCATATATAACAGAACCCATATGTACAGCGCTTAGCAACCTTTTGGCGCTATATAAATACTGTAAATAATAATAATAATATGTACTGCTTTCAGCCAGCAAAAATCGAAATTAACTCCTACATTCAGAATAAAAGCATGTCTCATCCCCCCCAAAAATTTTACATACGATGGAAGCCACCCATCATTTTATATAGTATTGTCTGTGTCATGTTGGGGAGATTCATCTTCACTATTTATCCTGGTGACCATTTGCAGTTGCACAGACATCCAAAATTTAACAGTTGTCATCAGAATAGAGTGAAGGAAAAATCTTTCAATGGGGAAACCAAATGTCAAAGGTAAGATTTCTTTTCAATTTATAGTGATGTATATTCACTTTCTATTGTGTTTCTGAGATAAGACATAAAGTGAAAGCTTCCTATGGGACCACCGACATCCATAATAGTCGTACAGTTCTAACTCTTCCAAACTCTCTAAACAAAGTTTGTATGGAGCTCCTTTTTAAGATAAGGTGTGGTTGACTGTCTAGGAACTAAGTAAGTTTAAAATTCTGTTTATAGCAGATCTATGAAAACACCCATTATGTAAAAATCAATTATTAAAAATAACTAATTATTTACAACAATTTACAATTATTATGTATAACTATCAAGTATAGAGTGCATGAAGGTATACATACATTTCTATTTAAAAGACAGGGACTATGTAGCCCATAAAAGATTGCTTTAGCACACAAACACTTAGGTCTACCATGCCTATTGCAGATGCAGGACTACCAGACAGTTTGTTGTTGCCGGCCAGGAGGTCCCCAGGACTCTCAGGCAGATATTGGTCTGACTGTTACATAAAGCATTTGATATTTCCAAAGAGAAAAGTGACTATTAACTTAGCTTAGTTCATAAAGTGAAGCTTTAACAAATGACTCTCAGTCTTTAGCTGCATTGCCGGATGATTTACTGATCATTTTCTCCTATCAGTATGTGAGAAGCAATAATCTGAGCTGTGTTACTAAAGGTGTTGAGAATATTTACACAATATATTGTGTGAATATTCACCTTAGTTATCTAATAATGTGCTGATGAAATAAGTAAACTTGAAGTTGCTTTTCACATGACTAGATAACTGAAGTTTATAATCACACAAATTTTTGTGAGAAAATTGTCAATTCCTTTAGTAAACTGGCCTCCCTGTCTAAGACAATATTACGTTGGTTTGCAAATTAATTGAAGTTGAAGGTTCTACTTGTTACGAACAGACAAATGGAAAACAATTCTCTATCAGAGGCTGCAGGAATTGATCAGTGTATTCTGACATCAGCAAGAGCCCCTTGTTTTGATAGATGGAGGAATCTGTTCTTTTTTTTTTTGCAGCTCGCTGGCTGAAGGAAAAAAAAAACACCTATTGCCAGCTTTGATATCCAAAAAGGTCACTGGATATAAATGGGTTAATGTATGGCCATCAATTACTATTATATCTACTCAATATGCTGGAAGTTTTAAATGATTACCTTCTAATAAACAGATCTGTATACAATTTGAATCGTCTATTGTTAAAAGGAGGTATCATTGTGTTAACTAAGTTATTGAGAAAACTTTTTTTGCTTCCATACCCCTTTCCTCAAGTTGAATTGGTTCTCATGGCCGAAATTGTTTGGCACCCTTGATATTTCTCCAGGAAATCATGTATTTTCTCACGAAACGTATTGCATTAACACATGTTTTGCTATACCACATGTTTATTATCAAAACAAAGAGGTGCAGGAATCCACAACAAATCAAAAATGGGCTGGTGTATTGGCACCCTTTCACAAACTGCGGATAAATAAGAATGTTACAAGCATGTGATCCTACTGTTTAAACTCATCACCTGGGGCAAGTAACAGGTGTGGGCAATATAGAAATCACACCTGAAAGATAGATAAAAAGGAGAGACGTTCACTTAACCTTTGCATTGTGTGTGTTCTTCTTTTAAGCATGGACAACAGAAAGAGGAGACGAGAACTGTGCTGAGGACCTGATAAACAAAATTGCAAAATATCAACAATCTCAAGGTTACAAGTCCATCTCAGAGAACTAGATTTGCCTTTGGTCTGAGTGCGCAAAATTAAAAAAGAAGTTTGCAACCCATTGCATGTAGCTAATCTCCCTGGTCGTGGACGGATGAGGAAAAATTTTTGCAGCAACGCAGAATAGTCCCAAATAAGCAGCCCCAAACATGTTCCAAAGACATTGCTGTCCTGCAGGCTCAGGGAGCATCAGTGTCAGCGCGAAACTATCCGTCGACAATATTTAAGTTTGAAATGAAACGCTCTATGGCAGGAGACCCAGGAGGACCCCACTGCAGACACAGTTATTAAAAAAGCAAGACTACAGTTTGCAAAGAAATGTACTTGAGTAAGCCAAAAATCTGGGAAAACGTCTTGTGGACAGATGAGGGGGGGGACCAAGATAGAGCTTTTCGGTAAAAGCAGCCATCATTCTACTACCGAAAACGGCATGAGGCCTACAAAGAACAAAACACAGTACCTACGTTTATTGTGAGGTTTCAATGATGTTTTGGGTAGTTTTTGCTGTCCTCTGGCACTGGGGTGCCTTGACTTTGTGTGCAAGCATCATGAAATCTGAGGATTACCAAAGGATTTTTGGGGTCGCACTGTAGGGCCCAGTGTACCCTGGGTTTGCGTCCACCTGGGTCTATTCCAGCAGGACAATACCCCAAAACATACGTCAAAAAGCACTCAGAAATGGATGGCAAAGAAGCGCTGCAGAGAGTTCTGTGGGCAAATGGCCAGCAATGAGCCCTATCTAAAATCCCATTTTCTATCTTAAAATTGCTGTTGTTTGGGAAAAGGTGTTTTTGATTACCTTTTGTCCTTCCAATAAGAGAGACCTGGAGCTGTTTGCAAAGGAAGATGTGGTCCAAAATTCCGGGTGAGAGGCTGTGTCAGAAGCTTATTGATGGTTATA